GTAAGGGCTTGTCAGGATGCTTAAGACCCGCCCCTTTAGATTGTCTCAAAATCAGGCTGAGACAGGATTTCCAGCATGGTGGCTGCCGCCGATGAGCCTCGTTGTGCCCTTTGTCCATTAATATTAACAGTGTATGGATAGAACCAATCACAAGATAGAATCTTTGACTAAGCTTATTAATCAGTGGGAAAATAGTAGTTAACGCCTCTGAGTGCAGGATGAGTCATCTGACATTTGAAAAGTTGTACAAGAAGTGAAAATACTGTTAATATGATGTTTTAAAAGAAAAACTCAGATAATGCTTTGTAGAAAATATATTTGGCACATAATGGCAGATAAAGGAACATTTCAAACTGGAACACTGGATTAAAAGCAGGAAAATGTACTTTTCATTTCATGGGGACTTTAACTGTGTCCTCCCCAACCAATCTCTTCTTAAAGTTTTATGTTAATCAAAGCTAAGCTTATTACCTTTTGATCTAGTTTCATATTTAGGATGCAGATAAGAGAGAGATATAAACCTTCTCCATTAAGTCTCAAACAAATTAGAGTTTATTTTTTTATCACAAATGAATCCCTTGCATCGGGTTGCAAATATCAATAACAAGTGAATAAGAAACAGTGTGTGAATCACATGATTTTAAATAATGGGGCTCAAATTCTGCCACATGAGAAGGATTCCCATAACCGAACATTAAATATGATCTAACCCTGTTCTCTCATTGTTTCTCTTGTTATTGGACCCCAGCATGATGGACTGATCGGTCTGTGATTATTCACAAAACACACTTACTCTCTTTAAATACATCATATGTCAGATAAAAGACCTGAAGTTATTAACATCAATCACAACAGTCAGACATGAAATACAGGAAGGAGCTGAGAGCAGAGTTTGACGAGTGAACTGACATGGAAGTGAATTTCATGAATGTTAGATTTTATTCCAGCAAATCTTTTAAGCTGTCAATCCTTGCCGCTGTCACATTTAATGATGGTAATATAGTCTCACACTCTATATAGTAATGTGCAACATTATTGAACAGAAAGTAGTCCCACATAACAACTATTTAGCACATCTAAAATAGTGGCTAATAACTGCCTCAGGAGAAAAAAACAAGGAAATGAGCATCCAATGCATCTAATCAGTCCACCAGTCATAAACAGAGGCAATTGAATGTCACAGAAACATGTTTCATGTGAGCGTGAGCTTTTCTTTTCTCAATGATTATTATGACATTCACACTGAAGCTTTGCACAGAAACTCTGAGCGTGTGGATGTGAGCTTTTAAAAGCAGATGAGGAGGGCTGCAGCCTGTCACTGATGCTAGGCGATAACAGATTTTCATGCTACACGTAGCAGAGGAAGAAGTGTTTAAAATGCATCCGATGTGACAAGTTTCATAGCTGCTATCAGTGTCTCCAGGCTGCAGACTTTAACACGCTCATTTTAAAACTTTTATGCCATGTCAATGACGAATTTTTGCTTCACAACCTTCTGATGTGCTAATGTGTTTGAATTTCACAGAACTGTTAAATTGATTAATTGTTTTATTATGCAGCTCTATTATGCAATTTGTCATGTGCTTCTTCATCAGGGTTGTGATGTTTAACACTATAATGTAATCCTTAGTTTCAGTGGGTGATTGGATTGCCTTCCTCACAGATGGTAACTACTGATGAAAATACTGACTTCAGCAGCTGTTGCAATTGTAGGAAATATTTCAGAACAGTTTTTAAACCTCAGATTTCTGCCTCACTGATTCACCAAACCGACAGATTTCCTCCTCAGGACAAGAAGTCTAACACCAGGCTGCTCTGTATGTATAGATATATGTGCCATTGGGAATGAATAGTATTCTCAGGTGTCTCAGGTGATGAAGAAGAAGGAAGAAAACATTTCTCTGTCTCTCTTTCTTAAGAGGTTTTTTTTTCTGTTGTTCAATGGCTCTGTAACCATGGTGAGGCTGGCAGAGTCTGGGGAAATAGAGAGAGTCGTCAGTCTCTAACTATAGCTGTAATCATTTATCTCGATTTGCATGAGTTACCTTGGCAGAAGGAACGTGTGGAGAACTTTTGCAGGTGACCTGAGGAAACTTCAGCCCCCTTTGTGATATCAGTGCTCATACAGACATATTTTTCCCTTCTTCTTTTGAACTTTAAAAATGTCAGATAATCAACATGAAACATTTATATCATGTCCATGAATAACTGACAGCGTATTGTTGTGAAAAAAGCAACAAAGGCCAAGGTTGGCTTGCTAGACAGTCATTAGCTAAAACAAGAAAACAATTGTTTTTGAGATTTGCTTTCTTTATAAAATATCTGCATGTCTGATTTACTTTCTAATATTTTTTTACATTTTTACAATTGGTTTGTTCATTATGAGGGATTTGTAAGTGCCTTTTATTGAAGTCACTATGCATTTAAGAACTTTTAAGTTGTTATATTAAAGGCTTAAAATGCTACATTCTGAATATAAGTCTAGGGCCTAGCAGAAAATCAAATACACCATATGTAAATATAATGTGGAGTAATGTCTTTCTACAAAGAGAGAAGTCAAACTCCTTCTGGATCTGTTGTTCTTAGCTCTGTGTTTACAGTCCTCGAATCAATGGCAGATGGTTTGTGTGTCTCTCACGGGCTCAAATATATTTCTCACATGTTTTTATGGCATGAACGCCTCCCTTTCCAGCCCTTAGTCCTGTCACCACGTCGGGAAACAGAACACCACTGAAACTACTGTGATGCTTATCATTACTGAATATGTATCAAATGTATATCAGCACTCAACTGTCTCACAGACACTTGCTGGTTAAACAGAAAGGGATGGGGCTAAGTGTGGAGGCATGAGAGGATGAGGGGGGGCGGGGGGTGCGAGTTGAAGGAGGTATGTTCAAAGAGAACTTTGGGTCTAAAAATCCACTCTGAAAGTCTCATGTGGCTGTTTTTCTATTATCTATGGAAAAGGGCAGTAATGTTCACATCTTAATTAGCTTTCAAGTAATGGATGCTGTTCCCATTTACACAAGTTTTTATTGTTTTCAGATGGTAAGTGGCCTATTAGAAGTTATTCAGGGACATATCTCAGAGATAAAAAGAAAAGTGGCTCTCTAAAGGATATCTGATCTTAAACAACAAACTACACGGTAGGTCCTTTCTGGTAAAATGGCATATCAAGCATTATTTAATAAAATGATTCATCATTAATAATTCAATGATTTAAGCCTTATCAAGTCTGAATGAAAGCTGAAATTAACAAATGTTTAACTTCATTTTTTGAGCTTCCATTGACTCCTTATTAAAACAAAAATAAGCAGTTACTGCATGTGCCAAAAAAACACAGAGTCCACTTGTGCTCAAAAAGGCCCACGCTCTGCAGTCCACTTTCAGCACTAAGTGTTTTCAAAAATAAATCTTTTTGGTTCCTCCTAACAGGCAAATAAATAATCCACTCCCAAATGATTCCTTATCCCGCTCAAGATAAAATCTCTTCCTGCGAGATTGAAAGGGTAATTAACTGCTGCTCGTGGCCAACGTTTACTCAAGTGTTCAGCAGTTTAACTTGTGCAGTTAAAAGGTGGATAAACATTCACTTTACCGTGAGAAACAATGAGACATAATGGCACAAGCACGACTCATCAACAGGGATTGATATGTCTGTCTACAAAAACTGTCATTTGGCAGCTTGTTTTCTCCAAAGACTGCAGCTTTGGCATGTGAGAAGTGCAAGCAGAGTTTTATTTCAGCCATGGTGGAGGTTGACAGCCATGAGAGCTAAATGTGTTTTTCCTTTGTCCTACCAGCTTGAGAGCGGGTGTTTGTGCAAGGTGCGAGGCGGTGTGGGAGCCCCTGCTGCACTTTGCGATACACAAGTCTGTGCTTTCATGCCCAGACCCATCAGAATGGCCCTGTCAGGCTGCTATCTCCTGGGACTTGCTGCTGCAGTACAGGGGGATTAAAGCTTTTTATGAAGCCTTTTAACAGCCAAAGGTGTGCGCAATAGCAGCATGTGTGCCATTTTCCTCAACAAGGGGGACTTCACTTCGCAGGACATTTGAAGCTGGAACAGTGCAGGATAAAATGTTGCAGCAAATTATGAAAACTAATTACATTATTGTTATGTTGGACTATTCAGATTGATGTAAAAAAAAAGCAAACACAGAGAGAGCCTGGGAGGGGAAAGAACAGTGTATTTGTTAAATATCTTAAGTAAAGAGTTGTAAATTATGGAATTATAGTAGATTGTGTACATATCAACTTTGCAGTGCCTCCCTGTATTTCATGTTAAATAAAATAAAGCAGAGACAACAGCAGTTGGGAAACAAGTAGCAGAATGTGTGACAATTAACAATCCTTTTGGCCAATGTGTGATAAATTGCTTGCAGGAAGAGCCCATTTGTTCCAGCCTTATCTTTGAGGCTGCTGTTGAGAAGACTGGATTATCTATTATCAGACAAAAATGAGAAAGGTTGGAAACCAAACACAGATGGAAGCTTCAGATCTGAGCCAGAATGGTGCACATTTACATATATCTAACCCCCAGGACATGTGTGGGAGTTTCTTGTCAATTCCTGGACGAAAGTTTCCCCTAACTTTAAAATGAAATGTTTTTGCCTCTTTTAATACATGGTAAAATTGTTAAAGTTTTACTTTTTGTGAGAAATAAAGATTTTACATTGCATATCTTTGACAAAACTTTATTTTCAAACTTTAATTTTGGATTTGTTAAGAAGGTTTAACTTGAACTTATAACAAACATCCAAGTCAATTTCATTTTAACATTTTAACAAATAATCAAATTTAAACGAAATCCTTAGTTAACTGATGAATGGTCCAGGTGCAACATCTGTAGACCACTTGTTTTGTTTACCTGCTGTAGCGGTGTGGCTGCTGTCCATGGTGCTGATATGAGAATGATCTGTGTGCACACTCTGCCACCTAGTGGTTGGATGTGTAAAGCATGCCTGCACAGTGAGAGCGGAACCTAACAAACCCCGGAACTACAGAGTGTGTTTTCTACCCGAGTTGCTAAGCATGGTGCACTTCCAAAGCTAGTGTTTTGGCATTAATGCTACCTGTTTTGTCTTTTATCCTTCTAGGACGTAACATTTATGAAGGCCCTGGAATACAGCGTTTGGTTTGCTTTAGCCTTTAGGTCCATGACGTCACCTGTACAGGTAAAGTGACAGCTTGCTGTTTGCAGTGTGAGGCCTTAGCGTGGCGATGCTAACAAGCGAATTACTGTGATAGGTTTTCTTCTTGGAATAAACCATGAATATAAATGTGACGCAGATTAGATAACAAATACTAATAACCTTCTGAAACAATGTTAGTTGCAAGTATTATGAAAAAGTGACATATGTCTTCGCTTTTAGGTGAAATGATGTCGTTTTACGCCAAATCCGTCTTTACACATTCACTAAGTAATACTCTTAATGCGCACTGGCTATGATGACAGAAATCTCCATCATTCATGTCTAACCCGAAAAGTAGGTACTGTTAATATACACTTTCTGAATTTGTTGTTAATGCTTTCCATCTTCTTATTCACGGTGTCATTTGTGGTCTTTTTTTGGGGCCAGTGGGCAAGAGTATAATGTTATACACAATACAATCTGATTACAGTAATTACAAAAAAACATTTTGTGTGAGATATTTGTTTTCAGATGTGATTGCAAACTCTTGGGATTTTGTGTTACTTTACCTTTATAATATTCTCACATAAGGTGTCCTCGGACCAAACAGTTCTGGGGACTGTTTGAAGAGTCCTCTAGGGTGATAGTTCCCTGAGAACCACACACCATGGGGACTTTTTTTCTGTCTGCCTATGCACCCCCATGGTGCTGGGAGGCTACCTACTCTAAAGAAGGAGCTAAAAAGGTTACTCCGAACAGGGTTTCTAGGACCTCTAATAAAATAGTTCCTGCGGTGTGGAATCAATAAGAAAAGGGGGGGCGGGTTCCAACAGTCCCTAGAACTATGAAAAAGTTCCTGTGGTCTGAAAACGCTTTCAGTCTTACTTTCACTCTTCCCATTCTTTGTCCAGCCTATGATCTGACATCGGTCAGCAGAGATGCTGCTTAAAGATCTTCCCAGAGACGCCCTGCTGCGGCCGTTGTCCAGGAATGAAGTGCTTGGCATGTTGATAAGGTTGACCATATTTGGTGCAGCGACCTACTACAGCATCAAATGGGTTGTAGATGCTATGGACCCTACCTCCAAACAGAAAAACCAAGCCAAGAAAAGGGTACGTTAGATGTCATTACATATGTCCCTGATATGTTAGAGCAAGGTAGACTTTTTGCTTCAGCATTTTGCACACAATCCTGAAATTGCTTGTGTCTTTAACTGACGTGTGTCTTATGTGGTCCCTTCAGGCTGAACAGCTGATGAAGAGGATCGGTGTGGAAGGAGTCAAACTCACAGAATATGAGATGAACATTGCCTCTCACCTGGTTGATCCTCTGACTATGAAGGTAACATTTGTAATCCCATTTATCAAGCACCGGCACGTTCTTTATTATTGTTACACTTTCACAGATGGAATATTTCACAGTGCTCTACCTTCCTGCAGGTGTCCTGGAGAGATATTGCAGGTCTGGATGAGATTATAAATGAGCTACAAGACACGGTCATCCTGCCCTTTCAGAAGAGACACCTGTTAGCCAGATCCAGACTCTTTCAGCCTCCTAAAGGTACTTCAGCGTGTCATCCTAACAGAACAGCTATGCTCAAATTGTACATGAAATTTTAAGGTTTGTGATGCGGGAGCATTAAAGGAGATCGTATTTATTTCACTATTAGTTTATTTAAGAATGGACTGTAAATCAAACATTTACATTTGGCATTTATCTTACCTATGTTTGTCGAGAGAATGAGGACAATTGCAGGTTTATTTTGTTTTAGCGTTGTTGTCTCACACATACTTGAAACAAACGCTAGAATAAAGCACTGTACAAGTGTTTGAAATGACAACAGGTCATCTGTGAAGCACTTATACATTTCACATTAATTCAAGGTAAGATAACGTTTATTATTCATCTTCAATGCTCTTTTCATCACATTTATACAATATTCTATTAATTACATATCAATACAGTAACATGATCAAAACAGGGTAAGGAAATTCCCCTTTTTTTCTACAATAAATAGACATTCACAGAAATATTCTGACATAGATACTCTGCTATTAACATTGGATGGATTCCAAGGAGAATTTCCCAGAGGGTTCAATTAAGTGTGGGGCGGCTGTGGCTCGGTAGAGTCGGTCGTCAACCAGAAGGTTGGGGGTTTCGATTCCCAACTCCTGAACTAGCGCGGATGTGTCCTTGGGCAAGACACTGAACCCCATGTTGCTCATGCTGCTTCGTCAGCAGCATATAAATGTGTGGATTGGTTTAGTTACTTCTGATGGTCCCTTTACATAGAAACCTCTGTGTAGGTGTGATATCAGTGTAAAAGCACTTTGAGTAGTCAGAAGACTAGAAAAGCTCTATACAAGTTTAGCTCCATTTACCATGAAGTATATATGATCTTATTTCATCCTATCATCATCCGCAGACACTGCAGCAATCTTCATTTTCAAGCTTCAGCCTTCAATCTGTTTTCTAATGAAACTCTTAAAACAGTTAGTTGGCCAGCCATATGTTAGGCATTATTTTATATTTTGTCCTTTCATATTGGGACTTTGTTAGATTAGACAAAACGTTAACACACTGTGGATGTGGTGACCCTCAAAGTTTGCAAGAATGAAAAACACAATTAAAACAAATCTTCGACTTTGTTTTTCTCGCTAAACTGAATGCTTTGAAATGTAGAACTGAAATAGTAAGAATCAAGTCACTGTTCAGAATTTTCTTCAGTTTGTCTTTGAGCTTCTTACTGTTATTTTTTTTTTTTTTAAATGAAGCCATCTGTTGAGTTTATGACCTCAACTCGAGATACAGTCCGTGCCAAAAAATCCTCAGACAGGATCGGAACACTTGGCCGCCTGACAGCACATGATCACTTCGAGGAATATTTATCTTTTTTATTGTTTGGCACAAAGATTTACACAGAGCCTCGAGATGACTCAACCTACTGAATGAGCTGCTTGGGAATCCAGTTCCAATCCCAGTCTCAAACGTTTATTCATGTCATTAAACTTTCTTTATAAAGGTTTTATTTTGGGGCTTTTTGCCTTTTATTAAGAGATAGGACAGTGAATCGAGTCTGAAATTATGACAAGCGGGAAAGAAGCCACAGGTAGGATTTGAACACGGGCCACTAGGCTACAGGTGCCCCATCATTAAACTTTCTGAATATGCAGTTGGTCTGTAAATGTTGTTCATCAATCTATTGTACATTATAAAACATCAATATAAATTTAAAATTTTGAACATAAACATATCAGGAGTCTAAATGAAAAAAATAATTCCTCATTTTTGTTTGTATTTTGTCCTTGCAGGTGTTTTATTGTTTGGTCCTCCAGGATGTGGGAAGACCATGATCGCCAAGGCAACAGCCAAAGCCTCGGGCTGCAAGTTTATCAACCTTCAGGCGTCCACGCTGACAGACATGTGGTACGGAGAATCACAGAAGCTGACAGCTGCTGTCTTCTCATTGGCTGTGAAAATCCAGCCCTGCATCATCTTCATTGATGAGATTGGTGAGATCCTCTAACATGACACATGACAAGACTGATAACTTTGAACATGACGGTTTATTACTATGCTAGTTGAAATTCATTTGAGTTTTACTCTTTCAGGATACATTTAAAAAAAATGCTTATACTGTTTTTTTAATGTCATGACATCTTTTCCCCAAATATCCACGTTTTTCATGTAAGGATGGCATCACATCATACAGCAGCATGAAAGAGCAGAATAAATACACATCTCAGGATAGCTGCTCAATAAACGCTTTAGTACGTCTCGCTGACCATCCCCACTAAACACTCTTTAAGTGCAATCACAATGTCCTCTCTGCCACTACAGTAGGTTCTAAAGATCTTATGCACCCCCCCCCCCTTCTGTGTTTCTCAAATAGATTTTCTTTAAAAACTTTGTAGCAGATGATGCAAGTTTTCTATGACTGGAATGGATATGAAAAAATCAGCTTCTTTGATTTGCCCGATGACCTGTATACAATAACTGCTAAGAATTCATTAAGTCAGTCAAATCAGCAAGTGGAACTAAAGCAGATAACTTTTTGTTTTCAGAACACCAATATGCATTTAACTTATAGCATTTGTCACCTCATGCAATATTTTTGACTGCTTTGAGAATTTGCTCTTGAAAGCATCCACTTACCCAGACATTGTTTTCTAGGTCGATTTTTCTTCTAATTAGCTAGATTATTCAGCTTTAATGGTTCCTTCTGCTACGATGTGTGGCTTTGTTTCCCTGCTGGCAAGTCCGCTCAATGTCTTAACAAAGGGCCCGAGTTGATCTACATCTTCTGTGACTTGTACTCTCACTTATAAAGAGTACCTCATACAACCCTTAAAAAAAGAACTTGAACTTGTTTGTCTTAATCTGTTATCAAGCAGTTCTTCTTCATCCTTCCTTTTGCTTCCTGATCCTCGTTTTTTAGAGTCTTTCCTGAGAAATCGCTCCAGCCTGGATCATGAGGCCACCGCCATGATGAAGGCTCAATTCATGAGTCTCTGGGACGGCCTGGATACATCTTCAATCACCCAGGTAACACAACCACAGTTACTTTATCACCAGGTGCACTAATAGTGTGTCTTTATTTGAGGAGTTGTCAGACCTGAGCTTTGTTTTAATCATGGGTTCACATTTGGATTCTTGTAAAGGTGATGGTGATGGGAGCAACAAACAGACCACAGGACATGGATCCAGCCATTCTGCGCAGGATGCCCGCCACTTTTCATGTTGGCCTGCCAGTAAGACACTAACACACACACACACACACACACACACACACACATCGGCATACATCAATGCAGCACATTTAAAGTATTACCACCTGGAAAGCTTACACGTTAAAATATAATTTATAATAATTCAATGATAGTTTGGCTCTGTGTTTTAATAATAACACACCGTCTAAGACATGGGACTGTATGAACATGAAGACTCCCAGGTAGTAGAGTTAAAAACAGGCTTAGAAGCACTGAACCGAATTAAATCAATAAATGAATGTGTGAACTGGATGAAAGGACTCATGTTCATCTTTGAACTCAGCTCAGACTCAACCATGAGGACTCAGATTAGGGCTCAGGTTATGGGGACTCGACTCAGTCTCAACTCACATCTTCTTTAGTGACTCAGGACTCGCCTTGGACTAGAGGTTTTGGTGACGACTGCAACACTGCCACACAGTGTTAGTGTATGATAACTTCAGGCAGTTGAAATGACACTTGGACAAATGAGACATGACTAAGAACCACTGTCCTTCTATCTCTGCAGAACACAAGACAAAGGCAGGACATCCTGAGGCTCATTCTAGCTGGAGAAAATGTAAGATGGGATTTCTTTTCAAGTCATCTGGGAAAATAATTTTCCACTTCAATGCTGTCTCTTGTTCTTCTCAGAGACCCTTTCACACCTGTATTTTCCCTGTCAAAGCACATTAAAGTCAGCCTGATCACCCATGAACAGATGGCACTTGATTGTGACAGCTAACACATGGATTCTGTGTAACTGTCTCATATCTTTGTCCCGCTTTTCTGCTCAGCTGAGCAATGCCATTAATCTGAAGGAGATTGCTGAGCGGACAGACGGTTACTCTGGCAGCGACCTCCGGGAGCTGTGCCGCGATGCCGCCATGTACCGAGTCCGTGACTACGTCCGCAAGGAGCAGATGAGGCAGATTGCTCAGCAGCTGAAGGACTGTGAAGAGGAGGAGGAGGAGAGGTATGACTCACATCCAAACACCCACAAGATTTCAGAGCGTTCGTGTCCACTGAGCATGTCTTTGTTTGGCTGCTGAACCTGCCCCAAACATTGTGAGGTCAGACCAGTGCAGCAGATAGCAATGTTATCCTACCTGTAGCTGGAAAACCGTAGAGTCAGCTTCTGTATGTCATCAAATTGGACATGGTCAGGGATGGATTCTGTTCATTTTTTTTAAATATCTGACATTTTATAAATGATCTGATCTGTGTATCCAATGTCCCAGCTGTTGCTAAGTGACAATTGAAAGCCCTCTTAAAGCAAGACAATATTTCTAAAGACGAAATATTTTTCCTAGATTTGGTTGAGTGTTGTAAACACTTATCTCATCGCTGAGTTCTCAACAGCTCTTATACATGGCCTCATCTTTTATTGCAAATGGATAAAAGGAGCTGGAATAAATGAAGAAGACGGCACAGACATGTGGCTGTCCCATTTTGTAAAGCCCACGTGTCTGTTGAGTGTAGTGTTATGTTACAGCACACTCTGCACACTGTTGATAAACAGAGTCTATCCCGTTTAAAAATGCCCATGGAGACGTTTGTGTATCTGACAGAATAATTTTTAAAAAATGCAATAAAATGCGATTGAACACACGGAGGATAAGAATGTGTAGAAGATATGATACATGGCAGGATAATAAAACAATTTGAAAACTAAATGGAACCAGCATTAAGTGTGTGCCTGAACTAAACACTAACCCTTAATGAGATAAAGAGTTTAAAATGCACACTCTACAACTGCATAGGGAACACTGAAAAAGTCATACATATTGAAATATGTATACTTGAATCTAAATGAGTGAGATCATGTTATATACCCAGAGGATATCACTGTTAGAGTGTCCCATATCCACTCCTAATGCTAATGCTGAGCTGCTTTTCAGTATGATTTTTTTTATTTTATGTCTGCCCAGCTGTTTGATGATCATTTAACCCTTTTGTTTCTTTTTTACATGTTTGAAATACAAACATCAGACGTGTTCACATACAGAACTGGGGCATTAAATGACAGGCTCGCTGCTCAGAGTTTAAAAAAAGTCATCTCTGGGTGGAGAACAGATCCATTAACACACACAGAAAACCAAAAGTAGCTTTTGAAATTGAGAAAAATAAAGCATGGAGCGCCTCCTCTGTGAAGTTTCACTGGTGGTAGTATTCTTTAGTCTCAGTGAAATGTGTAATTGAAAGCATATGCATTGTATAATTCCCTGTTAACATATATATATGACTATCCTATATACATCTGAAAACTGTACTGTAGAGATTCATATATTGTGTATACTGGGTGTAATAAGTGTGGAGTCTGGAATTGTAACACTTTTTTTGTGCTCCTGTGTCTGACCTCTGACCTCTTGTATTCATTTCCTCCAGGTTTGTGGATGAGGACCGGTTGCGGCCGGTCACCCAGCTGGACCTCCTCTTCGGCCTGGACAAGATGAAGGAATCAAAGCGAGCCACAGCCTACATGTTACCCAGTGTGGCCGAGGTTCCCCTGGACTAAACCCCCAAACCCTACACTTAAATGGAATGTTTTTTTTCCCTTTGCTCTACATGTACAACGGTGGGTTCCTCCGCCAAGCAGACGCTCCACCGATATGCCAGAGGGGCTGTTGGACAAGTCTGCAAAGGGCCATATTTGACCTACGTTTATTTCTCCAGGCAGAGGTTGTTCTGAGCATGCTCATACAGCACAACCCGGCTCACCGTGTACAGGTTCAGTACATTCAAAAAGAGAAATCTCCTCAAAGCATCGTGCACAGAGTACAGTCGAGTCAATGTCTTACTCAAGGAAGTTAGTTTTGAAGAGGAAAAAGCCCTTTTCATAAACTTTTGATCCCTGAAGTTACTCCGTCTAATACTACCAACTATTCTAAAACACCACCTTAAGGATTCCTATACCAATCAGTCCCTGTCTTACACAGGATCCTTAGAGGGGATTAAGGACAATGACTCATGATTCATGAGTCACTCAAAGTCTGAACTCCAATCGAGTCTTAATGCTTTGGGGTTTAATTATAACTATATCTGCTGTCACTCTTCTTTTCTCTTTTTGGGCAAACATATGTTTGTAAATCACTTCATCACAAATATCAAGTAATGCAATGAGTCAGCTGATCTGGTATCTATAAGGTCACATTACATTATTACACTATTTATCAGCCAGTTGAAGGATGGAAATAATTCAGTATTTGTCCCTATCCATACAAACAATTATATGTGTGTGTGTGTTACTGTCACTATGCAGGATTTAAGTTGAATTATTCAAAAACGTTGTCATCCTTCATCTCCCACCTGCTGTTGCTTTATCCTGAACTTGTTTGGATTCAAACAAAGTGGGATTTATTCTTTCCTTGCTGAGCGCTGATATTGTTCTGACAAGAAGTTAGTCGACTTTTTTTTTTTTTGCAGTGTGAGGTTGTAAATGAAAACCGCAGTAAAGTAAAATTCATCATTTGATGAGTTACTGCTCCCAAGGAGTTCATTTCTGAATATTTATTTTGACATTACAATAATGTATCATAGTTAAGTGTTTGTTCTTAGCTATGTTAGTATAGCTGTAGATGTTGTAGAAGTAGAGCAGAGTAAAGTCTACCACAGGTTAGATTTAAAACATGCCTTTAATTTAAGAACTTAGCCGAGCCATTGCTCCGGGTTCAAGCCTGTTCATCAGATTTCAGAACACTCATGCATGATCCTTTTAATTTAAGATCTACAAAAAAAGCATGGATTGGGTCTGAGAGGTTCTTTAGGTCTTTAATGCAGTCTGTCCCAGAACTGAAAATTACAAATTAAAAAAAAAATGCAGTGTCATGTTGAGGAGTCACCACTCAAACCCTTTAACATGAACACACCCTGTATTTATATGAACCAGGGCTGCAATCACTAAAACACAGCTATCATTAAACTACAATTAAATGTCTGTATAAATATACTCACCTGTTGTATCACTGCTCTGTTTTTCCCAGCTGTTAGCAGACGTGTTAAAGGGATTGTGCTGTGTGCATGTTTGTCAATGTTGAAGCAGACAGATGCTTTAGATTTAAAGCAAAGACTTTTAAACCACCAAACTCTGTAACGTTCAAACCTTCATTGTGTTCTCCAGTGGTTTGTAACATCATATTTATGGTCTTATCATCCATTGTCTTTGCTGGAATGTTTTTTTATTTAACTATCAAGTCAAAATATGTGTGTCAATCAATGAGTGAAAGCACCTGTCTATCACTGCAACGCTTTACTTTGTCACTTCCCGTTTTTCAAGGAGAGCACGGCTTTAAAATCGGAACACTCTCATGCGGCTGTGAGTGTGAAGTTCTGGTGACATGATTTTCTCCCTCTCCCTCTGTATAAAAAGCCTCATTATTCGCCACATGGTCCCAGCATGTGTTCTTGGATCTGTTTGTGTGTCTCACACAGACCTTTTTCCTACGCAGTCTGAGAATAACAGGACGGTTTTGTCCCACATGGTGGCGCTGTGACTTCACTGTCCTGTTACTGGGGCAACCGGGGACATGGACCACTCGCAACTTTTATAGCATTATTGGGAGACGATGAAAACCTGAGCACACACAGCTAACTGGATTGTTGCTCTTCATTAGAGCACCTCAGGTGACAGTGAAAGGTCAAATGTTGCCATGTGAACCAATAATTGTGTCTCTGTGGCTTTCACGTCTGAGTTTGTTCTGTAGAGAAAGGTGAACACACCCGTCTGAGTATTTTCCTGCAATGCAATATTAAAATCAGGTCATTTATTAGTCATGGACACAACGCCACCTCATGTTGTTACTGTATATAATACTGCATGTGTCATTATCATGTACTGTAAAGTGTATTTATTAAATTATACTGAAGATAATATTTATGTTCATTCAACCAGCAGAGGTGTCCTCAGTTATTTCTGCACAGATTTCCACCTCTTGTGTGTGTCATGTCCTTGTTTACGTAAATGTATAAAATAAAAATAAATACCAATCTCATCTCTACCTATACTATAAACACTACTATTCTGAATCCACTAGTTACTGGCAATATTCTGATCACCAGAGAAATTGGACTGATAAGTTTAAACTAAATGAACTAAAATAATTTAGTTTAATTGAGTTTATTTTAATTTAATTATTTTTTTTAGTCTCTATGACTTAAACGTGATAAGCAGAAAATATTTTTGTTTTTTGGACTTCAAAAAGTATAGTTATGAGAGTGTTAATCATAATCATCCACCCATTATCTTTTCCCGCTTTTTCCCGTTTGGGTACGTGGGGGGGCTGGAGCCGGTCGCAGCTGTCATTGGGCGAGAGGAGGGGTCTGTTTGCCTGTCAATCACAGAGCTGACATACACAGACAGACAACCAGCCACACTCACATTCACACTTTTTAAGCAATTTAAGAGTTGCCAATCAACCTAATGAGCATGTCTTGGGACTGTGGGAGGAAGCTGGAGTACCCAGAAAGAACCCACCCACGGGGTCAACATGTAAACTCCACACAGGGAGGCCCTGTCTGGGGGTTTGAACCAGGAACCACCGTGCAGCCTAATCATAATCAACTTTTGTTAAATTATGTTGATGTTGCACTTACATTGTGCACCCTTTGGGCATGAATAAACCATTGTTGGCCATAAACTCTTTTCACCAGAGGAGGTCTGTGACCCTGACCATCACTCTGTTTTGGATTAAAGCTCATAGGAACGTATAACTTCTCATCTGACCGCTCTATTTTGACAATAGTTATGGCACATACACTCTGGTAAAAACAACAGCACCTCATCTCTACCGGCAAAGCCTTTCAAGTCTGAATCACATCTAGATCCGACTGCTACTCCTCCCACATCTTATTTTTTGAATGAATGAATGAATATGAATGAATATTTTGTCATTAACTTGTTTTAGAGAAGTTTCTAACAATGCATTCTGTATTATGTTATAAATGTGAGTCTGTTAATCAAATAAAACTTCAGAATGGTTTTAGTTATGTTTGTGAGGTATCACTGTGAATCACAATGTATCCGTCAGATGTTTCCCTGCTTTGGTCCAGACTTAATTATCTCAACAAATATTTGATTGATTGATATCAAATTTTGTACAAATATTCATTAACCTCCGAGGATGAATTAATTGACTTCAGGGAACAACTGACTCTTTCTGTTCCTACACTGTGAAGTTGATATTTTAGTTTCAAATCCAGTATCTGGACATTTTTTGATGGATTACAATGAGAGATCTCCTGCAGATATTTGAGTTCTGATGTGATTTAATTTAACAACTGTGAGAATCATTTGACTTTCATCAACTGCAACCATCTGGTCCAAAATCCAATTTTCCCAGTAGCAACTGACAAAACAGAGATTGTGAGTATGGTACACGTAATGCAAAGAAAGATGCAGAAAGCCTGTTAATATTATGTTATGTTAATATATTACTCAGTTATGTCCTGAGTCATCATCAGTAACATTGTTGTAGAAGTATGCGCTAATAAAACATTTCTAATGCTTTATCAATTTAAGGATTTCTTTTTTTAAATGGTGTAGAAAGATATAATACTTTTACCATCCACTGCCTAACCTGCTTTGTGCTAGCTCCAGAATTTAATTTGCCTTCAAACAACTTGGATTGAGGTTTAAGACCACCTCACACCAAGTGACCGCGGCCACGGAAGCAAGCAAACTAGCAAGACTCTCATGATTTTATTCAGACCTTGGAAATGTGTCTGTGACTTTGAAATCGCTTGAAAGGTTGGTAGGTGTAAGCCCGTCATTAGTCATCAGAACATGAAAATGAACTTTTGTTTTGTTTTTTTTAATTAGTACATCCTTGAAAAAGTTTAAATCGATTTTATGACAAGAGTTTTAGGACTTGGTTTTTCAATTTAGGAAGACAGCATAATGGGGCTGTATGACCAAGGGCCGGCTGAAAAGATTGTGTATTTTGTAGGAGAACATGTACCAGCTGCATCTATGGCACCAGTAAGTAAATATCACCTTTACTAATGGCTTCTCTAGCTTTATAGCATTCATAAAAACTCAGAGTACACATTATTAAAGAAGAGCATATTGTCTTTTAGGTTACAGGTTAGGTTGTGATACACACCTATTTTAGGATAGTACCTCTACTTTACATTTATGAGATACATAAACAAAAGGGAAATACTCTGTATAATAACTATGACTGTAGTATGTACCTACTCCAATAGTGAGTGTATGTGTGTGTGTGTGTATGTGTGTGTGTGTGTGTGTGTGTAGCCTACACAGTGTGTAAAGGGGATTAGGTGGGTGAAGTACCCACTCACCCACGAGAAGCAGCCCACTTTCCTACACCAGGCACAACTACTGTATGTGTGCTTTTCTCTCCTCTGTATGTTTGAACAGCAGCTGTCTCACTAGTGTTGATGATGAGTAAGACACATTTAACTCAAGGTCACTCCAACCTCATTCATCTCAGTGATTCAACTGTAATTCAAGATTTCTCGTAAAAGGCAGGTTAACGGTTATATAAAGGTACATGTAAGCACTAGTTAACTGATAATAAGTACAGATAAGTTGCTGCCTGTGGTGTCGACAGATGGTAAGGTGATATTTACACTTCAGTCTTTAATGAGCTAGAGTCGAGAGAGTTTTCATCCAACTAAGTTCAGCTAGGGTGCACGTCTGATCTTTGACTCAGAATCATTGATTAGTTATTCATAAAGCTATTGATGAGTTATTCATGAAGAGGGAGTCAAAGTGAAAGTCTCCATTCAGGCTCTTTTCAATTAGAGGACGGTTCTCAGCCAATAAACACCACAGAAGAAGACTCTCTCCCCCGCAGCACAGCTGGCTGTAGATGTCAAAGACTTCCCACTGAGAGGCCAGCTCACACACAGATGGATTCACTTTTGTCTGGTAATGGTCTGTGAGTACAGCGGCTCTCAGCGCTGCTCTGATGGTCTCAACCTTTTTCCATCAGATAGGAGTGGAGGAGACGAGTGTGTAATGGCCCCACTCTGCTCTGTGACAGTCCTCTGAAAGCTTCCACACCATCGGACATGATCGAGCGAGCCCTGAGAAATCAGCCGCAGCTGTTATCGCTGCCATATTCCTCAGCAGGACATCCTGTTGCCTGCAGATGTTCAGAGGTTTTATTGCTGAAGTCATTCACAGAGCTTTAGTTTGTATAATCATTTAAAAGGCTGAGTAACTCCAAACTCACAACAGGATTCAAGGACTCGTAGAACAACGCTGTGGGTGAGACAGGAGTGTTTGTTTATCCTGTTTCATCATAATTTTATGTTTTCTTTGCGTCATTGAGTGGTCACATAGAAAAGAGAGTGAAACGAAACAATGACCCAGTGTCAAAAAAACCATCAGCTCTTTGTGGTATATGAGGATGCTTCTACATGAGGCACAGTGCCCAATTTACTCTAACAGCAGTTTAGCATTTGTTTCCCCATTAATAAGCCTGAAATGATGCAGACAGAATTCAAAGGATACATTATTGAGTCAGAAGAAGTATGTTCAAGTTGATTGGATGTAATTGCTAAACTCTTATATAAAGTTTTCTGAATGATGTGTTTCTCTTTTCTCTGTTAAGCATGTGGTGGATTGTACTCACACGTGGCTTATGCAAATGTGAATGTATTATATATATATTCAGCCATAGAATATTGCTGTAGTATTATAAAAGTCTATTATTTTTTTCTCTGGTTTATATGTTTTTCTTACTTCTGCACCTTAAGCATGTGGTGATTTTCCTCTTATCAAAGTGAATTTTATAAATATTCAGCATAGAATATGCTGTAGTATATAAAATCTAATTTTTTTCTCTGGTTTATATGTTTTTTATTCATCATTCAAATGCCAAAATGAAGAGAGTTTTCCTCTTCACATCTTAACAGCCTTATACTTTTACAAATATGTTCAATGCAGTATCTTAAGCAAGGTATGCTTGTACACTATATGTGAAAATGCCCAATAGCATACCTGAAGGTTCCCATTAATGTTATATGTTGAGTTCATCCATACAAAAACCAAAATGCGATTGTATCGTTTGTGCCATGGACGACTTAGGACTTCTGCTTGGCTGGTTGCTGTGTCTTCCTGGAGTCTCCACTGGTGGTCTGGGAACCTATCTGAGTGGTATTATTCCACTCATTAAACTCTATAAAATAGCAAAGGGTTCCCAACCCACAAGTCTTTTTTTTTATATAAAGCTTGATATATATTTATTCACGGTTATTCTTGAGCATGAAAGCAGGTGTTCCGATAAATCATGAGTAAAAATGTTCCATCTCTATATGACTGCAGCTTTTCAGGACCTCATTTTAACTTGGCTATGACTACTATGTGCTTTGGCAGTTATCCAGAACTGTTTTCACTGCATGTTTATAGGGCAAAAATAGTAGTTTCTGGAACCCCAGGAGACCCTGTGAGATGTGAAAAATATCAATGAAAAGGGGATGGATACTGGTGTAGGTTGTAAAACATGGCTGAAAATACAGTATACCACAATTACTGCATTGGAACACCCTCGTTAAATTTCCCTGTGTATATCTGCTGTTTCCCAGCCCCATGTAGAGATCCTGCAGCCACAGGGTCTTTAGAGCAGCCTCAGTGGGTCGTCTGTTTCTGATAGATGAAGAGGTCTTACCCTACATTAACCTCCTGGACCATCTCTGCAGGAGCTGGCTCTGAAGGGAACACTTTGAAGATGCTTGTGTGTGTCATAATTTCTGTGAGTGCTGCCACAGTATCACCATAAAAGTCACTGACATATTCCTGTGGAGAGTCATTCACCCTCCAGCTGGCACAGCTGTGGAGCAGCGCCGGCAAATGATGCGATTCATGAGTTGACATCATGTTAGAACGTCTTTACAAACCACCTGAGCTTTGTCTAATGATTGTAGGCGTAATGGCCTGTGGGGTTTTATCGAAGTTTCAAGAAAAAGAGGCCCAGTTGCAATCTTGTCTGGAGATAATAAATCATTGATTCTTTGTGGCAAC